TTTTGTATATATAATCTTGATTAATATATATAATATTGTTTTATGGTAAATTTATTCATCTTAAATACTATTTTGTACTTATAAATATTTACAAATTGTGTATAATAATAATTATGTAAAAATAATTTTTTTTTTTAATTTTCTAGACATTATTTTCCAATGCTTAGCACTGGAAAATAGTGCTATTTGTCCATTTAAAGTAAGAACTATTTTCTAGGGCTTAGCGCCAAAAAATAAGTGGTAACGACAACTTAAAACGGGTTGCTGATATCCTTTTTTTCCAGCGTAAAGCGTTGGAAAACATTAGTAAAATTTTTTCAGCGCATTTTTGCGCTAAAAAATAACTATTTTTCACACGTTTTTTTTCCATCAATATTTTTCAGTGCAAAACGTTGAAAAATAATAACTTTCCAACGCATTTTAAGTATTTTCTAATGCACTGAAAAATAGGCTATTTTGTAGTAATGTTGGGATCATCTTCTCTGGGCTTGTTGGGTGAGCATTGGATCCATTGCCCAAACTTTAATTGAAATGTGGGAAGGTGAGTTCAATAAATGAAACCCAAAGTTAAAGAATAAAAGATGGAATTTCTAGATCTGTTGCCTAAAGCAACTTGGAAATCACCCCAAATTACAAAAATAAAATGTAGATCTATTGAAGTTGGGAAAGACACAAACCAGAGAGAAAGAAAAGGTGGGGATCATGTTGTCATTATCCTTTGAAGATGGGGTTTATTCTTCAATTATTATAATTTGTAAGTGTAATACCCCATATACTTTAATGAAAAAATTATAAACTAGGGTCCTTAATTTCAAAGCTTAAGAGGCTAAATTGGTTAAACAGAAAGTTTTGGAATTTTAAGTGAAATTTAGTAGAAGTTGGGTGATGTCCAACTTCATTATATCATTTTTGTGCCATGTAGCACAATATTTACCAAGCATATTCATGCTTGAACTTGGAAAGTTTTACAAGATCCATGAAAGCATCTTTTGGAAGACTTCAAAATAGACCAAAACAAACCCCCTTTTTTTGCACCTTTCATTTTCAACTAAGTTGGTGTGTTAGGACTAGGTGGAGATGCATTTCTTAGTTGAATTTTCTCTCAATTTCTAAAGTCTTCTTCTATTTGGTGCTTTGATTTTCATGGGTAAGTATGAGTTTTAGCTATGGATTTGGATTAGAGTTTTGGGTAGGTTATAGATTTGCTATAATATACCAAGAATTAGGTTGTATTAGTGAAATTTGACCTTAAATCCTTTATTTAAGAGACTTTTTGGATATTAGAATTTTATTAGAAATATATATTAATTTTTTATTACATGTACGAGTCTTGAGGATAGAACTAAGAAGTGGGTTTTATTTTTGTGCTTGAAATTACTGTGAATTCTATTGTCAAATATTTTTATTATTACCATGAATTCTCTATGCATGTTGTATTGATTTTTCTTAGGGATTAGCATGATCAAACAAATCTATATTTTTTACTAGAATTTTGGTGTTCTCTGTGATAAGGTACTTGATTGTTGTTGATCTATGTTTATATGCATTAATTGCATTGTTTAAGTAAGAAACAATTTACCATTCTTAAGAGTGGAATTTGTGAACCAAGTGTAAGGATAAAGAAATTAATGTAAATTGCTGTAAAAAGCAATTATTCAAGTGAATTAATGAATGTAATTATAAATTATAAATTGAAGTCCTTTATTTCCAAGCCTTAGAGAAAATTGGTTAAATAAAAAGTTTCGAGATTTTAAGTGAAATTTAGTAGAAGTTGGCGGATGTCCAACTTCATTATGTCATTTTTGTGCCATGTGGTACAACATTTACCAAGCAAATTCATGCTTGGACTTAGAAAGTCTTACAAGATCCATGAAACCTTCCTTTGGAGGATTTCAGATAAAAACAAAACCTATTTCTTTGCAACTTCCATGAAGGCTTCCTTTGGAGGATTTCAGATACAAACAAAACCTATTTCTTTGCAACTTTCATTTTCAGCCAAGTTGGTGTGTTGAGGTTGTGTGGGGACGCACTATTTAGTTGGATTTTCTCTCAATTTCTAAAGTCTTCTCCTATTTGGTGCTTTGATTTTTCTTTGTAAGCATAAGTTTTGGTTATAGATTTCGGTTAGAGTTTCCGATAGGTTATAAATTGCTATAAATCAAGAATTAGTTTGGGTTAGTGAAATTTGACCTTGAATCCTTTATTTAATAAACTTTTTGAATATTAGAATTTTGTTAGAAATATATTAATTTTTGGATACATGTATGGGTCTTGAGGATAGAACCTAAAAGTGAGTTTTATTTTTATGCTTAAAATTAGTGTGAATTCTATTGTCAAATATTTTTATTGTTACCATGAATTCTCTGTGCATGTTGTTTGTGATGATTTTCTTGGGGATTAGCAAGATCAAACAAATCTATATTTTTTACTATAATTTTGATGTTCTCTATGATAGGGTACTTGAGTGTTCTTGATCTATGTTTATATGCATTAACTACATTGTTTAAGTAAGAAATAATTTACCACTCTTAAGGGTGGAATTTGTGAACTAAGTGTAAGCATAAAGAAATTTATGTGAATTGTTGTAGAATGTAATTATTCAAGTGAATTAACAAATGGAATTATATTCCTATATTATTTTGGATGTGTTTTGAATATCTTTAACATGTATATGTGTTTGTAGCTATAGAGTAAGTGGACCTAAGCTTAAAGATTAGGATATTTAGTGGACTCTCAGGGGTAATTAGTGGACCTCTACATAATAAGGTGAGTGTTATAACTAACTCCAGTACAAGTGTTACTAGCACATATCAATGGACTCCATAGCATTGTATATTTTTTTTTGTAAGCATTTCGATTGTGATATTCCATTTGTTAGTATATGGCTTTATGTTATGAATTTGA